TTTATTATAGTTGAATTGACTGTAGTTTCATTGCCAAAAATGTATGCTGAGAAAATTACCAAACACATTGCAATACTCTTAGGAACTACTAGACACATAGAATTTTATGTAAAGTGGGTTACGTCCCTGCTAAACTCCCATCAACCTCATCAGACCATAATTTTAACTCTATACAAAAATTTATCAAAAAAATATACAGATCTATCTAAGGTGTAAGTATTTTTTATGACAAATGATATAATAAAATAAATATAAAACACCATGCACTCTTGTTGTTATCAGAATAAGACAAATTAATTGAGTGTATGCTGTTTTTAAATTATTAAATGCATTTATTTTGTATTTATAACCATGAATAATTATTTACAAGAGAATCAAAAATTCAATATTTTATCATTTTATAGTTGTGATTACAATAAATATACTCTAGCGGTTGTAAAGAGGTTGGCTAATTTACAAATAAATGAAGTGAAAGAAGAAGTAAAAACAGAAAATGAAGAAATGGAAGTTGATGAAAACAAAATTATTTCTATTAATTAATTTTGTTACTTAATTATGTTTACTTGTAAATAAATATAAATATTTACAACTATTACAATTTAAAAGGTCTGCATTATTACGATTATTTATATTAATTTAAATATAATGATTAACCTAACCTATTAAAATTATTGATGTATGTCAGTTACCATTTATTCAAACAAACAAACTATWTATATATATATTATATAAACCTATAAGGAAAAACAGASTTTAAGGTTTGTTAGATTCCAGAGATTTCTACTTTTTATTAAAGAAAATTTTGTACAGTAGAACTTCAATTATGCAAACTAATTAGGACCATGCCTAATTTAGAATTGTGAAAGTTTGAATCCTGGGAATTTCTTTAAGAATATGCCACTTGGACATTAATTATTGTCTTACAAACGCATAGCAAGGCAAATTGTATATTCATAACACAATTCAAGATATACCTAAATTATGATTCACAATAATATGTTTTATTCTGTAATTTTTAAAATTAGAATAAATTAAATTAAATTAAATTAAAAAAAAAAGCAAGAATATCTTGTAGGCCATAGGGTATCTTAGAAGATTTTATTGTTATTACTTATTAGTTTATTTCTACTTCTAAGTAAAATAAGATYATTTTAAAATTTATAGTTTTTATACGTGTCAGAAGTTAAAATATTGACAAAATACATCACTACATAACAAWAATTTGGAAATTCATAGACATTTTTGTTATTTTTAAGCTTTGGAAATTGAATACAAGACTGCTCTTAAGTTTTCTTGCATTATAAATAAAGTTTATCAGAGTATCATATCAATTTTTGTGATTCTTTGAAATTAGAAGTTGGATATTCAATAGTAAATTAACAAATTTTCATACAAAAAAGTTCTTATTTTGTCGTTACTCAAAAACTAATAACCAAAGGTACTTGAAATTTTGATTAGGCGTAAGATCAATACTTTGAAATTGAGAAGAATCTTGTAAATAATATTGGCCACATTGATTAAATATTCCCATTTTCCACAGTTCATTGGTTAAGTTTTACTTTATTATAATAATTTTAAAAATTATTTGGAATTATAACTTTTGAAATTAGTATTTTTTTAAACAAATTTACTTTAACTGCTAACCTAACCTCTCCTTCACACCTTAACTATACCTTGTTCCAAAAGAGAAGACACCAGGCGGCTATAGGCAAACCGGTTTTGCTACGTAAATCTGGTGTCTTCTTTTTTGGAACAARGTATACATCAAATTATTAGTTACCAACCAAAAGGTAAAAACACTAAAAACTACCCCAAAAGTTGAAGATTGAAAGATTTTTACTTCTCTTAAGCTTATACATTCATCGTTCCGCTCAGAATCCAAAATTAAGCCTTAGACTATTAAGGGTTAACCTAACCTCCGAAATTTATTTTGCAGACGTGCCTACCCTACCCTCACAAACTGTTATATTTTTTAAATGCATAACTTCAAACAACTTTAAAGCGTTTAAGTCTTAACTACAATACACAATACACGTCGTAGTCTTAGCAGCATACCTACAACTTACAAGTTTTAACCATTATCGTATTATTCCGTGTTCGTATTTTATCCCATTGATATTATATGTTTATCGAGTTATTCATTTTAAATTTCTTTGTATTGGTTTCAAATACGTAATAAGTAATAACCAATTTAGGTATTGCAATCATTTTTATTACCAGTAGAAAGCCTTGATATAATTAGGTAGGTAGGTATCAGATATTAGTCTATTTGAAAATATAATAATGGAATATGGATCATATTGACACATACTTCTTATAAGTTTATGTATTGATATCCAAGAGGGGCATGACTGCATGAGGCATGAGTTATGACAATCTAATCAAMATCAAACTATACCCTATTATCTTTATTCTATGCTATACCTTATCTAACTGCGATGGGTTTTTTCTGTCAGTTCGTCTGTACAATGTACAAAATACAAATACACAATAATACCAGCTATTTTCCAATTTTATTCTAGTAAAAATAAGAAATAGTGGAATTCTTTAATTATTTGTTCTATTATCGTTAGTATTTAGTAAACACTACATAATATGAATCTACGAA